CGTGATATGTAAATTTAGATGCATGCACATGTGCATTCTTTTTTACATTCCTTACAGGTGGGGCCTACATGAGAAAATGTGAACAAAAGTTAGCAAAATCAATTATGCATTTTTAGATTTACATCTTCCCAATTAGAGCAAAATACAACCCCGGAGGTGTAAAGGGGATGTAAAAGTGGCTTTACACCCTCGAAAATAACCCCCCTCCCCAACTGTAGATGCTCTTAGAGGAACAATAATCTTGTATATTGTAGAAGATGAGTCAGTGCCTAATGACATATAACAACAACTTGACCCACAAAATTGATAAATTGAGGGTTTATAAAAGGGGGATTCACTATTATACCAAATATAAGGGCCCAAATTATATATAAAAAACCATATATTAAATGGACTTTAGAAACACACCCAAAACCCATTTACAATATAACAAAGTGATTTCGAACATCCTATAAATTACAAAACTGCCATCGATTTCTTAAAACAAGCCTAACCTCAAAACCTCATAAAAAAACCCAAAACACTCGCTAAGGCATCAAAGTAATGTAATAATCAAAATTAAATTCAATAGACCAACTGTCATTTTGTGAGTTTTTTTTTTTTTTTTGGGGTTTGTTTATAGAAATTAAATAGTGTAAGATTTACCTATATAACTAATGATAAAAATGGGTATACAACTAAATATCTCTTTATAAAAAGCTTTTAGAGTGTGGATGGTTCAAAGTTGACACTCTTTTTGGCATGTGTTTGTCGTTTAAAGAAGATATATGTATTTTTCTTTTCTTATTTTTGGTGTCTTGGACAGAATTGTTGCAAGTCTGTATTCCAAAAACATAGGGCAACAATAATAATGAGCGATATCGATGTGACTAAAATAGTATCATCACATGGAAATGGGTCCGTTCCCCTCAAATTATTCGCTGAAATTATTGGAGGTCCACTCAAATTGACGATACTGATAGCTACCCACCTTTCTGCACAGATATGTATACACATAGCTCCTAACTCTCAACAACACCTAATAACAAAGAAATGTGCCCTGTCTGTCTACCAAGCATTTAATCAATTCTACATCACATTGATTCAAATTTAAGTTCACAGGTGTCTCCTCCTCTCACCAGTTTGAGTTCATTATTTTTGTTATGAATATGTGTAAAATTGTGATTCATATGCGATAAAAAATAACAAATAATACACGGAAAAAAGAAAGAATCTTCGGAAGTAATGAGAATAACCTAGAAAATGACTTCAACTTTACCCCGACTCATACAGGGTCCAACATTGACAACCAAATGTTCAAAGCTTATTATCCTTTTCTTTAAATTGGGTGATTTGTCCAAATCCAATCCAACCAAATGTGGGTAAACTGTTAAAGGTCTTTCTCATGCACAGCTACAAAGAACTTGGAGGTTATTAATTTTGATTTTTCCCCTCCTTTCCATATACATGAATCATGAATCATGATAGATAACAAAAATTCGTACCATCACATGACTTGCCAACCATTCATGGTACAAATGGACCGCCATTTAGGGTCTGTTTTGAATTTTGATCGAGACTTTTAGTTTTACTATAGCTATGTAGAAATGTCAATGCTTCACTTTTTTTTATATTTTTATATACAAGCTGGCCATGCCAATCATCTGCTAGTAGGCCATTGGTCTGATTGCAGGCTTACACTTATAATTAACTTTAATTGCATGCCATGATATTGATGGGATTAAAGAGACCCACTTGTTTTCTCACCTAAAAAAGTACATATATCATAAGAAAATTTCACACCGGCACAACTAGTTCGCCAAAAATACTTATTTAATCATTAATGTAAGGTAATATCAAGCTCATGCATATAAAGCAACCCCACGTTTAAAATATGTAACGGGAATCCGTTATGTTTCCAATCTTGACCACAAAAATAAAAATAAAAATAATTAATAAAAGGATCTTAAGACAATAACCCCCACAAGTTAAGGGAATCATTAACCCCCACTAATTAAGGAAAGGGTCAAAGTATATTTCATAAGATTTCCCAATAATACCTCAAAGGATTTACGGGTTGAAAGCCCTACATCAAAATTCAAAATTAAATGCCACTTACAATGATATAAAATTTATCATTTTGTTTGAGTCTTCTCCATGTACACTTCATGACAATTAACTCAATGTGATTGCTGTCAAGACTTTACAATCAAAAAAATATTAGTTCACTTACAAGTCTAGGTGCAAATAACTCTATTTGACTTCACATTCTAAGAACAAAAAATGTCGTTAAGAGACAAACTCAACACTATTATATTTGTCCACGTTCATAAACTGCCAACACATTAAATAGGATAAACAAATTATTAGCATGAAGGAATCCAAGAAAAAAAAATGATGAACTAAGCCTTCATGTTTTAAACATGCAAGTCAAAATAGCAATCAAACAATAATGGAAGTCCAAAAATGCTTTTCATATTAGTAATGTTATTAAAGTCTTGGGTGTTATTATAAAAGTCAGGATTTCAATGCATTAGTGTAAAACATATAGGATTTATAATTCAAACTTAACAGATACAATCTATGCCATAATAGACATGGTTTCACATATATAATCAAACTTATACCTAAACCCTTCATTGATAATATTTACCTAATATATGGGTAAAATACAAATTAATCAATGAAAGTAAAGACCCACATATTATACTAATTATTTAGACAAGCACCCACATTAAATTATGTACCTAACATACATGTAAATAGTGTTCTTATTACCAACAAAAAAAACTTAGTTATAAATCGTGTTACCTATAAGTTATATATGAACATAAATTAGAATACTACCTATAAGTTAGGAACATAAAAAAGAAGACTACCTATAAGTCAGATACAAAAATAGACAAATAAAATTGTATGTTACCTATAAAAAAAATGTAAATAAAATACTATTATTCATTGTCTAAAATATGAAAACACACACACATATATATATATACCTACGCAATAGGCAATAGGGCTATAGATAATAGGACAATATACCTTCATAGGATAATATATCTATAAGAGTTTATACTGTACCTCTATCAACTTGTAATTATTCCTTTAATTGTACATGATCAAATCTAATCATTAATAGCCTATAAATCCTCATCTTACCCGTTTTAGACAATAGGGATATAATAGGAACAAAAAATTCAAATACAAAAGTTTGAATCAACATGTCAAAAATGGAAAGTAATCTACATAGCAAACTAGTCAAAGAATTTGTGTCAGCAAACAATAATTTGAGGACGAGACCGAACTATCAGTTGGATTGTTCTCTATCAATTTTTCTAAATTTTTAAAACCTTTTTGAAATTCCAACCGTATTGGAGGATAAGTTACATGATAGATTCATGTAATCCATCTCCATTTTCTTGTTACGTTATAGAAAGAATAAAGAAAACATTATATATAAAACCGTGATATACAAGTTTTTCTTAAATACGTAAGCACATTCGTCAAATTGAATTAAATTAGTGACCGCCAGACCTTAAGTATCCTTGTCACCGCGTAATGCCATATTGATGGAGATAACTCCAAACCAGTCGGTCACCACCTTCACCAAATAACCCTAGTGGTAGAAAATTATCTGTCCATTGGCGTATTGTGTGGCCAATTGAGATGACTGTACGTACAGGAGGCAATGAATATGCATGATTCATATGAATCATTATGCAGTAGAATTGTGGTTGGACTGACAAATTCGAAATTGTCTAGATGACAGCCTGCCTAATAGAATTCTAAATCACCCACAAAAATATCCCATGTAATTTGTCGATTTGTATTAATAGGATATGCTCAACAAGTTGAGAGCTGCAATTGGATCCCCTATAAAGAAAAAAAGTAGAAATTTTGTTGTATTTTGGCAAAACTGAATACATATATATATATATATATACATGCAGAAGAAGTTTGGCATTCCGTTCATAAACTGGTACGACAAATACTTGCACTTTTTTTTGCATCTTCAGCCCTTTTTCATATTTTGTTTGCTAATTTTACTCGTGTATTATTGCGTGTGAGGCTGCGTCTGCAATAATGTACTTTTTTGGTTTTCTGTGGTGATGATCTGCACTTCATGTGTACTAGCTGACCAACTCTTCCTTAGCGACCAACTCTTCCTTAGCTACCAATTCTTTCACTTTGTCGGGACGTGAATCGTGACACGTCCAGTTAAGAATCGACTTAATCGATGGTTTAAATTCACAATCCGGACGCTTCAATAATGTAAACATCTTATGGTCGTTGGTTGGAGGGAGCAAACATCCCTGTGCATAAATAGTAAATACGAAGCATATACACAAGAAGCTCAAGCTTGTTGTATATAACAACCACCATCAATTCGTAGAGATTTGTACTCCAAATTAAAAGGCGCATGCGAGTGTCTCGGGTCATGGCTTCTTCTTCTTCTTCTTCTTATTCTCTCTTCTCATTCAGCCCCATCAGCTTCCCACTACTTTCTCCCTCCAATTTTCTCTCAACCATGTTTGCTTTCGCTGGTGCGCAACTCTGTCACCCCAAACTCAATTCCAGGTTCATCATCTCTTAATTCTCTTCCCTTTCAATTTTCTGCTTAATTTCATCAACATGGTTCTTCAATTTTCTCCTGCTATTTCTTTGCATGCCGATCTGTCGTTTTGATATTGTTTCTTGAACCCATGAACGTATATATTGTAAATCTTCTTGATTTGATGGGTTATTAATTAGTACTTGTTCTTCTGCTTCTTCTTTTTTTTTATTTTTTTTTATTTTTTATAATCAAAGTTCTTCTGGTTCCATATGGTTGTTTCTGGTCACTTCTCCAACATTCCTGTCTTTGTGGAAATGGTGGGTGTATCTATCAAATTCTGGGTTTCCTTTAAGTTGTTCTAAATTTAGTGGTTGTCACTTGTTAGCAATGAAGAGAGATATTCTCTAGAATTTGTTTGCAAAAAATAAAAATTATTTACACACGTGTCAAATGGCTCTTAAGTATTTCTTTTTTTTTATATTTTATTAGCACTTTTGAATCTTTGCAGAATTTGCACACCTCTCAACCACAAAATTAAAGCAAGTTCGAAATGTTTTTGGCTTTTTTCCAAAACAATTAAAAAGACTTCCCATTTTCGTTTATGGAAAATAATCAAAAGCGACCTTTGCGTTTTAAACAAGTGTGCACATTATCACGCGCCTCTCAATAATACACCCCTTACGTCACATTCTGATTCGACCCAAAAAATAAGAGTCACGTTCTGATTTGTCTGCTTCACTGGCTTTTCGAGGGCGGAGTTAGAATTTTTTTTTTGAAACATTAAAATTCAATATCTTAATTGGAAGACAATTACATACATTTTTGTTTTTAAATTGTTTGGGATATTATAAATACCTAATGGCTCATTTGAGAGTGATTTTGGATAGGTCAATAATCACTTATTCATATAATTATTTTAAGTGATTTTATGGAGAAGTACACGAGAAGTGTTTCTCCCCAGAATCACTTAAAATCACTAAAAGTAATTATATGAAGAAGAACATGAGAGATGCTTCTTTTTTTTTCTTTTTGGGTGGGACCAACCCTTATGGTGGACTACAGTTGAGACACATATACATAATGATTATTAATGTCCTTGGTCCCAATTAGTGTCTCTCTGTCACTTTGTCACTATCATGCCTGAAGATTTTTCTATATGTTTAGGAGAAGTTGGAATTTACGGTAACATAATACATGCCACTTATACTTTATAATACGCGTTTTGTTTTGATGATGTTTACGCATAGACAAAGTTCTGTCAAATTTTGCATCTGCTTTAGGTTTTATGCTTATCGGCTGCATCACTTGACTGGATTTGACCATTCGATCCGGCTACAAAAACCCCCTTTTGAAGAATATGAAATTTAAAAGAAATTCATGAACCTCTAAGCATTTTCATTGACCAAATTTTGCTGGCCTTTTTTGTGCATGAATAATTTCCAGAGAGGCACAAAATAAATCACCGACTATTTGAGTCATCTAAGAAGAGAAATAAATCTAACACTATTTATATCTACATTTTTTCTTTCTTTCTTTCTTAGTTTAGTGACCACCGTCTTTGTATTGTTTTATTTATTTACTTATTTTTAAATAAAAGCGATAATCTAAACTACAAGTCTAGAAGGAGAGAGGGTTTCTCACTACAAGCGATAGTCCTTTTAATTGGTTACTTTGTGTTGTCACGAGCTGGATTCGGCTTTTTTTGGGTCCGAAATTATTATTATATTTTATATGCTTTGACAAATTCTGATTGAATTTGAACTCTAAACCTCAAGGTTTAGCCTGCCTTAGTGTTGTCAATCAGTCCAATCTTATTGGTATAGAAATTAAAAGTAAACCCAAATTCTAAATCATGTTACGTAGATCTACCCTGTTTTTGGCGTGTACAAATTCTTCTATTGAGATTAAAATAAAACCAAATTTAAATGGAAAAAAAGACTATTTATAGCTGACCAACCAAGTTCCTCCTAATTGGCTTAAACCACCAATTAAAAAACCATAAACATTTTTTATCACCTGGGTTAAATACAAAGAATGGTTTTTATTTTATTTTTAAAGTAAAATCCCAGAGATTCAAAAGATATGCACAACAAATTTGTACAAAAGATATGCGCTCTGAGATGGGACTGAACCAAGTAGTGACAAATGTTACTACCTTCATGGCTATTTCCTCCCTATGGTACGGCCTCACATGTAATATGCATGCATCAACTTTAGTGGCTTTCCTTGGAAAAAAACAACTTGAATTCCACTCTGTGATTTTTGCTTTGGATTTTGATGATGGCTAATATTCTGTTTTCTTCTGTCCCTGTTTGTTTTTGTTTCCCAGGATTTTTCTTTTGTTTTAGTAGTGCACTAACGAAGTTCAAGCATCTCATATAAAAACACTGCAAAGGAAAAAAAATTTGGACAGTTTTGGGACTAGAAAACCAGAAACTGCAATCTCTGTCTGAAGTTTCAACTACCAAGGAAAAAAGAAGGAAAAAAGAAGAAGAGAGAGATGGGTTTCTGGACATTGTTGGAGGTGGCTTGTATGCCAACTTTCCAAGTTCTCATAATCAGTGTACTGGGAGCTTTCATGGCAACTGAGTATTGGAATCTTCTCCCCGTAGACGCACGGCGGTCCATGAACAAGGTAGGCACATGTTCTGTTTTTTGGTACATAAGTTGGTTCCTACATGAATCAGATGCGAATAAGTATTTATGATTAATTGGAAGTTGTTGAGTTATGATTTTCAAAAAAATGCAGGTTGTGTTTGTGGTTTTCACCCCCTCACTGGTGTTTGCAAGTGTGGCCAAGACTATAACATTTGAAGACATTATTTCAATGTATGCTTCTGTATCTGTATTCGGATCTTTTTTCTTTGAGCGTTCATTTTTATTCTGTTTAATATCTTTGTTTTTATATCTTCCCATTTTCTTGGACCTTGTTTGATCGTTGATTCAGGTGGTTTATGATCGTAAACGTGGCACTTACATTTTTATTTGGAGGGATTCTTGGATGGATTTTGGTAAAAATAGTCAGACCAAAACCTTATCAGGAAGGCCTGGTAATGGCTGCATGTTCAGCAGGTGAATGCTCAATTTTTTATTATAGTTTTTCATCTCTTTCTTATAGCAGCAAATTTGTAGTGTGCTCATCAAGTAATGGCAAATCTTGTTGAATAGCAAACTTGGGAAACCTTCCCCTTATACTTATCCCTGCAATCTGTGAAGAGGATGGGAACCCATTTGGAGATCATAGTGTTTGTAAAAGCGTTGGACTCTCATATGTGTCTTTTTCCATGGCGGTAATGCAATTGTTAAACCTCTACTTGATCATGATTTAAAAAGAAAAAATTAATTAATTTCAAAGCTAACAGGTAACTTGGTTATTGCAGCTTGGGGGTTTCTTCATCTGGACTTACAGTTACCAGCTGATACGAACCTCAGCGAATAAATGGAAAGCGCTTCAAGCAATTGAGGCAGCTGAGGAGGCCTCAAAGAATCCCAACAGTGATTTAGACGCTGAGGGGGAAACTCCCCTTCTCAAGGGAGAAGATGAAGAGCAGGGTTCTATAGTAGTTTCAGCAAATGGTTCTGGAAACCAAGAAGCTGTAAGTACCCTCGAATACCAATCTACATAACAAGTCTGATGAAAACTAGAGCTAGTCTGGCTTCAGTTTGTGTTATATATATGCAAATATTAACTCAAGCATGTTTTTTGGACTATCTGGATTTCTCAAATGGCAGATAGTAGCCGATGAATCAGACGTACCATTCATCCGAAAAGTAGTAGCATTTGTTAAGCAGATTTTACATGAGTTACTGGCACCACCAACGGTAGCTGCGGTGAGTTTTTCTAACATTTCTCTTACGGTATAAGTGCTTCTCGAGATCTCAAGACTGACCAAGAACTGACTTGTCTTTGTTATCTGTCTATGATCAGATTGTGGGATTTTTTATTGGGTCAATTACATTTCTTAAGGAGATTATAATTGGTGACAGCGCCCCCCTGCGGGTGATCGAAGACTCTATTACACAACTTGGGTAGGTACCTTTCTGCTTAAGGCGCATCCCTTATGGTTCAATCAAACAAATTTAAACCGAAAACATTCTGTGTACTGAGCCAAGTAACAATAACTGCACCATGCAGGAATGGAACCATCCCTTGTATCACACTTATTCTTGGAGGCAACCTCATCCAAGGTAATGAACCTAAGATTTTCAACATTAGAACTAGTTTTCTTCTGTTCTAGGAGGTGAGACAATCTGACAAACTAATCGAATAGGTTTACGCAAATCGAAGATCAAAATTCCTATCATCATTGGAGTGATCATTGTTAGATACGTAGTAATGCCAGTGATTGGTATCGGGATTGTAACGGGAGCAAACAAGGTTGGGTTTCTCCCATCAGACCCTCTGTTCCGTTTTGTGCTGATGGTTCAGTTTACCCTGCCACCTGCCATGAATATTGGTAAGCAGCTAGTGTTTCTAACTCCATTATGCTTCTGCAAATAGCAAGCTTCACAATCTAGGTTTGTTAACAATCTTCCTTATAATTAATGCAGGAACCATGACCCAGCTGTTTGATGTGGCTGAGGCAGAGTGCTCAGTGATCTTCCTGTGGACATACTTGGTTGCAGCCTTGGCACTTACTATTTGGTCAACAGTCTACATGTGGCTCTTGTCTTGAACTGCCTTCAGCTGAGGATGGCAAGCCTCCCTAAATGGTGCATTTTATAGTGAGAGGCTTACACTTCAGAGGGAAGAGGGATCTACATTTCTGCATTTGGGTGTTCTTTTGTTCTCCATTTTTCAATTTGATTGGTTGTTTCAACTAGAAGTAAAAAAAGAAATTAGAGTATGATTTGGGTGTGTATGTAGATCCCATAGTTTCGTTTACTTATTGTGTATTAGGAAAAAAAAAATTATAAAGAGAAGGGGGTGATTGTGTGTTAGATTTTTCAGAGCTCAATGTTTCTCATAGATAAAGCCTTGATTTATGCATTATGATTCATTGTGGTGCATTGTTCTTGTTGAACTGAAATTAGTATCAATTCAAGCACCAATTTTTAGCTTGGGACATCCACTGGCAGAAAATTCGTGGAAAAACACCAAGTTTAACTATTATTTGTTGAGTCATCAATAATAATAACCAGATTAAACTTTCCTTCAAACTGCCCAACCAGACCTGGAATATAAATTGTAAAACATTAAACCTCAAAAATACAACTGGGTCGTTTGGGTTGGCAACAATAACACCTTAAAATTAAACTGTTTTGTGCATAGAATCAATTTCTAATCTCTCAGCTCTACAATCAACTTCCAAAACTCTCACACCGTAAATTCAAAGAGTAAAATAAATTATACTGTGAAACTATACACTATTTCCTATGTGTCCTATGACAGCTCTCTCCCCCTGATGGTTAGAACCAAGCATTGCAATAGCTCCTGCCTCACACAACCCACTGCAGATACTTGTCTCATCTGAAAACAGAGTACTGGGGAGAGGCAAAGTTACTCGGCTACACTAACGTAAGCTGCAGTTTCGGCCTATTGGGCTGGGGCTCCACAATCTCCAAATGAATAAACACCGTCTGCAGAACGCTGTATGACATGCTGCCGTCCATTTTTCTAATCTTCTGCTGCTGCTCATCTACAAACCACTCTCCGCCTCCCTTCTCACCTCTTGGGGTCAAGTAGACAGGCCCTTCTATTCCATACCTGCAAAAGATGGGAAAATGAAAGTGTTCACATATGTAAACCACCACCACAAGTTTATCTCAACACTTGACTCCACTCCGGAATATTAAAGTCAGTCCACACACACAAAACAGAAAAGGATTCTGTACGAGGTGAGGAAACATACTTGGGCACAAATACGAAAAATCCATTGGATCTTATCCTTACTATTCTGGCCTCTGTGTCCGTTGGCCTACATGAATGAAAGGAAATATTAGAGAGAGGGCGAGGGAGAGAGAGAGAGAGTGGGTAAATGCTTCATACCGTTTCCTGAAGAAAATGAGAGTATGGAGCTCCACTGAGGCCCGGCTTGCCATCTGGGCATTTCTATGTCGATAATTTAAATCTGTAGCACAAATAAGTGAAAGCAGCATTCTTAGAGTTCAATATACCCAAAGTAAATATAAAGTTGAGAAGCTATTACCTACAAAGTATTGAGATAAATGAATTAATCATGTCCTAGAAGAGCAAATAGAATCTTCACTCAGAAGATTAAATATAAATATAGAAAAGAAAATTTCCGTTAAAGCACATTAACAGAATATGGGCACATTTGGAATCTCAATTATAAGCCGGGTGGCTGCATCGATATTCTAAGAACAATAAGGACCCATTCCTCCTTACAAGCCAATAATAATTTGATATGTATTAACTTGCAAGTAAGCACTTATTAGGAAAAAAAAATTTAAAAATTTTGGATACATGTCAAATTGTCATTGGTTTGTGGGGTGAGGAGCCAAGCATTTTTCTTATGGTAATATCACTCATAAATACGAAAATGTACAAAAAAGAAAAAAAGATGGGGAAACTTATTCCATACTGTCAGCAATGCTAGTTAGCCGGGTTCCGTCTTGGAATATAGTTGGAAGCTTTTGTATCCCTAAAGATGCAGCAAGCAACCTGTGCACTATGACATCTGCAGGAAAAGAAAGTTCGTAAGTCAAACAACAATAACTCAATCACCAAGAATTACGTGACTAAAACTGAATCTAACCTGCATATCTCCTTATAGGAGAGGTAAAATGAGTATATAGAGGTGCTGCAAGCCCATAATGAAGATATTCTGGAGGGCTGAGATCCCCACTAGAGAAATAAACAGCCTATGCAAATAGAAGGTAAATGAATACATGCAGAAAGGTTTCCTTCAAGAGAATTTCAACTTCGCTCAACCATTCAAGTAAAGTTACCTGTGTCATGCATCTGGTAGCCAATATACGAATCAGCTTATTGAAGTATGGATCATCAGCCTGGGAAAAATTCAATTTTTTACAATATGTGGGTGTGAGAGAGAGAACAAAATAATGAAACACAAAACTTAACTGAAGAAAAACCATAAGTCTCATACTAATAACATGCATATGAAATAAACACCTACCACTGCAGAATCAAGTGAATCAGCCAGTGCTTTTGATGATGAGACATCCAAGTTGAGACCAACAGCAGCAGCTGTACGCAACAAAGGTTCAAGCATCTCTCTTGTTGGAGTAGGATGGCGCCTGCAGAACACATACGTAAATTAAATGACCAAAAAAAGAGACATGTGGCAAAGTTAGAAGGCACCTATGCACCTATCCTGCCATAACCACAATTAGATGAATAAAGAAAATTACATCAACCATTTAGATCAGAGATCTACATTTAACGAAAAAGTGATACATTCAAACACAGCCAACCTAAATAGACCCCCGTAAAATCCACCAACTTACCTCAATAGTGAACAAAGAGGAAAATGTTTAAGGATCTTCTCGGCAACTGAAACATTAGCAGCAAGCATAAATTCCTCAACCATCTGGTTCGCTTCACGAATCTGGTACATTCCTGCAGAAACAAGTCATGATTAGAAATATAACAGCTAAGAAAAGAGCCAAAATAATGAAATTGCTATAAAAGAAAATAAGCAATAAAACCAGACTCCAAAGCAACATGTTTAATACAGTCTACCTAATAATGCTACGACCTTCACAAACACAAAGTACTAAACATGGGTAGAATATGATAAATGCATTACCAACTTTAAAACCAATGTGAATGTGAATATTATCAGCCAAAAAATGTGAACATGAATGTGAGGTAAGTGGAGTTCACTGTAAATATTTATTATGCCTACATGACCCTGGAGCAGCACTAAGCAATTAATATCATGAAATAAGGTAATTATTCATTGGTGGATTATTCAACAGCACAGCTGATCTTTTCTCAGTGCAAGTAAATCGGTTCAGGATTCAGACTCGGATTACAATCAACGAAAGTTTGATATGTTGAACATGAAATTTGCCTTTCCAACCACATACCAATATCAAGAGGATCATGAGTCTCGGTGTCAATTTGAAACTTGACTTCAGCAGATGCAAGAGTTAAGGCTCCTCTCTGAATACGTCTTTCCCTCATTATCTGTAGCATCATATACAAATGCATATTGTTCAGAGAAGTCAAGAAAGTAGATAGCATATTACAGCAGTTTAACCCATGAAAAGCCAAAGTAAAGCCCACGTGTGCCACGTGTGCATACCTTTGCTAAAGCATTCATGTTTCTTAAATCTGTAGTTAATGGATCCATCAACCGACTGCAGTAAGAAAAAAACAATAAGAAAGCCTTAGCATAAAAATGCAAAGCTACAAGAAACTTTTATAGGGGCCATAGGAAAGGGATCAACCATGCAGGGGCCAATTGCAAAAACCCTACACCAGTGAGCAGATTGAATCATTGGTGCAGGTTTAAAATTCACCATTGGTGCCACATAGAGTTTAATCTCTCTCCTTGTTCACTGAGTGCTATAGCAACAAAAGATGCCAGATTCTTAGACATTTTCCACCAGGAGGAGTTAGAACCAGTTTGTTTGCCATAGGCCCATTTTATTATGGATTTCTAAAGTTGACGCTTGCACACTTATGACTAGTGCTGTCAAGCTCCTTTATATGCACTTCAAGTTCATAATACACAGCTATTCATCGCTATCCAGGATTTAGTAGATAAGGCTCAACCCAACACATTATGGGTTAGCCCATCAACCTTACTCTGTATTCTGGTGATTAGGTATCATCTTGAAAAATCGAAGAAGCACATGTAGACCTCTTCTTGGAGGCTCTAATTTGGTTATTTACTTATCAGACCATTCCACATTCTGCGGAAACTTGCATCCCCAATGTACTCTCTTTCTTTCAAATGTTAGGACCAACTCACTTCTATCATTCATCTTACTTTTACATATCATGGGTGTGTCAAATCACAACAAAATATGCTTCCTAGAGCATTGTAGGATATATTGTCATTTTATACATTACAATCACATGCACATGCAGTATATAGATAGAAACATAACAAGTGAATGCATGAAGTAAGTGAAGCAAATATAGTGCTCATGTAGCAAAAACATACCTGAAACAAATCTATTATTCTAACAAGAAGTAAAGTTTACTAAGATTAACAAAACATCATTATAATTATTGAACATAAGAGTATCCTGCAAACCAAAGTGGTATGGTCAAAGTGAATTTATCTACCAAAAGGTCACTAAGTTGGAGTAGAAATGCACCTATCATCCATCCTCGCTTGAGCTTCAATGTAAGACAATGCTGCACACGATTTGATGACACTTTTTGTGTACCTCGTAGAAATAATCTCAGCTTCAGGTGTCATTTCCTGAAATTCAGGTAAACAAGTTTACACCAATCCTAAAAAACAAAAGAAGACTCCAACATTGGTTAAACCTATCTTATGTGTGTGTGTGCAAATAAAACAAATATAATATGGTATCTCTGTAACAGATTCATGTGTGTTTGTATACAAATGTGTGTTTTATGACTGATAAACACTGCGTAAGTTTGTGTCTTACGAAAAAAATGCAAAATCCAGCTTATTGATTGATTTAAGAAATTCAAATTATAAAAGAAATAACTGATAGTTTAAAATTAGTCTTATTGTGACTAGTAGGGAGTACATACCCATATAACAGAAAAAGCTAGCCTCTCCACATCAGCTCGAAGAGAACATACATCTGCATAATAAGAACTATATCTTTAAATCACAGAAAATGCAATCATAATATCAAACTTTCTTTTTACTGCACTCATTACAGAAGAAGATTTTTATTTTATTTTAAAAAGTCACCTTCCGTCAAAGGTTTTGGAAGCATGTCAATGCGCCGTTCAACTAGGTAGACCGAAGTGCCCCTTTGTGAAGCCTCATCATCAAGAGGAGTATCCGAGTGTACAAAATTTGTTACATCAGCAATA